CGGGTTGCGCTGCACGTCGGACGGGGGATTGGGCTGGTGGCAGCACCGCTGAGGAAGGTTCTGCTGCTGGTGCCGACGAGGCCGACGACGGTGATCCTCGCCTGGCCCGGCGTCCTGCGTCCTCGTCTCCCGCCCGTCCCCGCCGCCGCAGCCGCCATCCCGCCAGCCACGCACCCCGCCGCCGTCAGCTCCTGGGCCTCCTCCGCTTCTGCCATGTCCAGGCCCAGGGCTCCTACCGCCGCCTCTGCCTCGTCCAGGGCAACCTCCGGGTCGTTGCCCTCCTCCCCCTCCTGCTCATGCTTGGCCTGGCCGTACTCCTGGTCGAACGTGGCGGCTGAGATGGAGGGTGGGAGGATGAGGAAATCCTGGTGGTTTTACTGCTGGTCGTAGTCGTGGTGGTGGTCGAAGGTGGTGCCAGTCGTAGCCGATCTCCTCCAAGACGTGGTGGGGCGGCACAGGTCGGCAGACCTGGCGCCATGCCGCAGCCTCCGAAGGCCCCCCGCCGCCCGGCGGTCCGTGAAGATCAAGGCGCGACGCCACCAAGCGAGGCCGCGGCGCCAATGGATCGCCGGGGCATTCCAAGCGCGCCCCTGCAGCTCTCGGGACTTCCGCGGCTGCATCCACGAGGTGGGCCGCCGTCGGGTAGGCCACGCCAGGCGCGGGCGCGCGGCCAGATGACGCGTCGGGCGGGGCGTCGGGCGGAGCGTCGGGCGAAGCGTGAAGGGGGGGGCGTTGGAGCCCCTAGGCGTCGTGTGGGGGGCGTGGGCCGGGTCGTCGGGTGGGGCCAGGCTGACCTGTATCACGATGTCATGGCTGCTGCTATTGGTGCCGGTGTCAGCGCTGGTGGTGGCGACGGCGCGGTGCTTGCGTTGGTGCTGCGGTACTCCTTGCCCTGGACAAGTCGGACTCAGTACCGACGTAGGTCTCTTTATCTATGCTGACGACATCACGAAGTGCGTCATCCCTGGCTGGGGACCACCACCACACAGCGGCGGTGGAGAGGCGACACATCTTTTAGCCTTGGCCGACAGCAGCAGCAGACATCTGTCGGAGTGCTTAGACGAGATTGGAGTTGCGCTCAACCCTGGAAAACGTGCCACACTTGCTCGTCTTTTTGGACCAGGTAGTATAAAACAGCGACGATTTCTCTTCGGTGGCAGTATTCAGTACCCAGGACAGCTGGCCAGGTTCTTGAGGATCCTGGGAGGATGGTTGACTACTTCGGGGTCCCTGCAGGTGGAACAAACGAAGCGGCTCCAGGCGGGCCGAACTGGTCTGGGACTGATATCTAACTTTCTGGTACATAGCGCTACTACGAGTATCAAGAGAATGAGTATCATTGCCTTTGTACAGTCTGCCTTACTGTCGGGGATGGAGGGGAAGATTCCAGATAACACGTATACATACGAGTGCGACAAGATCGTGATGCGAGCGATGCGGCGGGGCCTAGGTAAGCGAGGGCTGCACGAACACGGTGAGGACGAGCTCAGACGCTGGTCGGCACGTGAGTTGTGGACCCATTGGCGCATCTTACCCACTGCGGAGGAGCTTCGACTTCGGAGGATTAAGTGGTACCAAAGCTGGGCTAAGTATCCATCGAGCCATCGACAGGCCCGAGCTTGCATCCTAGGCTGCATGGGGGACGGGGATTCCATCACGAACGAAGGGCACTTACATCCTGAGGCGAACCCCTGGGCTCAGCAAGTTTTCTCGGACTTGGTTTTTGCTTATCGGTCTTCAGAGGAGTTCAGAGACATGGTGCCCGAGGATTTCCCCCTGCTCCGTCTCTTCTACTGCGACGACTACGATGACTGGACGGACATCGATTTCACGATTATTAGAGCGAGTTTTTGGACCTTCTCGATTCCACCGCCGACGAGGAGCGAGGTACACGAGGGGGGTAGGCTGGACGAGGATGAGGTGGATGACATACCGAGGCGATGTCATTGCAAACTCTTAGACGAAGACGGACGGCGTTGCTGCGAGTCGTTCCCCACTATGAAAGCCCTCCTTCTGCATGCGGGGAGAGTACATAGAGTACGAAACGAAGCGTCCCTGCTCACGATTACAAACCAGTGCTTTAGGTGCCTCCAGGTGCTCAGTACGCGTGAAAATGCACAACGGCACGTGATGCGATCGTACCAGCACAACATATGTTATCGGGGGCGCAGTACGTACATGGCCCACGAGGTGATCGAGCCGAGCGATCTAGCATGTCCGATTTGCAGCTACACGGCTCAAGACCTAGTGGAGCTACAACTGCACATACGATCACACTGTGCTCTCCCAGATTCACGGATTGTTGACTGTCGCACCCGTCCTCGACGCGATGCTCGCAGGCGGCTCCAGCATGGACCTCAGTCAGCTCATGAAGCGTCACAAGCCAGAGGGCGGGGCCGAGGCGGAGGTCGAACGGGCCCAACGACGTCGGGTGGGAGAGGCGGCAGAGGATGCAGACGACGGCCTAGCAGCCGTGGAGGGCGCGCTGAAGGCGCGCGACATCCAAGCGGCGCTCAACATCCTGCTCAAGATGGCGTGCCAACACGCGCAGCTACTCAGGGACATGGCGGCGTCGGAGTGGATCAGCGTGGTGACCCCGACAGAGGCGGACATCGTACAGGTATGCAGGCGCACGGGCAAAGAGTACGCACAGGCGGCGGCGATACCCGCAGCCAAGGGGGAATTGGCCTCTCCTCATTTGTACATCGCGCGCGCCGCGTTCAGATCCCTCTCGGAGTCCAAGGAGATCCAGTCGAAGGACGCCAACTCGCACATATTGGTGAACATCTTTTACACGAGGTTCGTATCAGGTGCGAACCACATGGAGCTTGGCTTGATGGTGAGGCACTTCCGACTTCGCAAGTGCTACAACGAGGAGTACACACGGATTCAGTTCTCGATTGCGGACGGACTGGCCATCCCAGTAGTGAACGGCCAAGAGGAGGTTGCGATGAGCAAATTGGAGATCGAGCAGGCGGTGGTGAACTGCCTGGTGGTCTTGGGAGGGCGCATGAAGCTCGGGGCCGCTCCTCAGGGCCATCTCGAACAGCTGGCACAGAGGCTTCTCGACAAAGGCAAGAAAGCGGACAAAGTCAAGAAACGATGAGGACACCATTAGTATCGCACTGGGAAGAGAGGCTGGCAGCTCTGCGTGAACGGGTCCGACAGAGAGAACAAGCACAGCGTGAGACCAGCCAGTAATTCATAACATCTTTTTTGGGGGGGGAGAATGCCCGACGGCTTCATATTACTCAGATCTCTGGAACGCTCGTTTACGTGCATCATGGTCTTTGTTTCTGCTCACGCTGTCACTACGTTGGCTTTCTTTTCAGATGGAAGAGGCACAGGCTGCGACAGGGTCTTGGCTTAGTAACCCCTCGCCAGACGTCATCGCGTGCTTCTATCCTGATGCAAGACCACACTCATTTTCATACGTATCGGACGTTCTTGGAGAACACGTTCAGAGTCGTTGACGCTCCCATTCCATATGTGTTAGATCGAGCTTCCCAAGTGCGACAGGTCCGACCTCATCGGCGTGAGTGGTTTCGTTCTTCCTTTGGCTCAGTGGAGTGATGATTATTGCTGTACACGGCTGTTGGTTGTGACGACTATCTCCAGTTGCCTAGAAGGCTTCGGCCTCGGCTTCTGTGAAGGCGGTGGGGACATGCGCTTTGCGCATAGCTCCACTTACTCCAACCACTCACCCAGCTACCCATCATCGACGTGGGGGTCGACTCGTGGATGGGCGTAGGCGCCCACCTGTGCGTGTACTAAGCCGCGCCCCTGTGCGCTGCCGCCCTCCCCCTTCCCCTCTCTTTGTCGTCTCTCCTGGTCCTCCTTGCCCTCTCACCCTTTTTCTAGCTTGCGGGACCCTGGGCCCCCCAATGAGAATGAGGAGGAGTTTACGATGAGGTTTCCAGATGTGTTTCGGGGGCCGAGGGGACCGCTCAGGGCAGGTGGAGTGCCTCCGAGGCCAGCCAGGTGCAAGCAGCACCAGACGGCCACGGCCTCTTGTGAGGCCTGAGGGGCATCACCCCCTGCCCAGGGATTGATATAAATTGCGACGGTCTTCATACACAGGTATGAGAGGCTGCACGGTGCGTGCTACCCCCACCTCGGATCGTGAACGAACGAGACGATTGTGTGAGGTAATGTCTAGAGCCAGGCCGACGGCTTGGCGCGAGTGGCAGGTCAGACCGAGACCACACGCAAGGCCGAGTCTTCTTCTTCTTCTTCTTCTTCCTCCTCCTCCTCCTCCTCCTCCGCCTCCTCCTCCTCCTCCTCCTCCGGCTCCTCCTCCTCCGCCTCCTCCTCCCCTCCTCCTCCTCCTCCTCCTCCTCCTCCTCCTCCTCCTCATCCGCCTCCTCCTCCTCCTCCTCCTCCTCCTCCTCATCATCATCATCATCATCATCAGCATCATCATCATCATCATCATCATGATCAGGATCATGATCATCACCATCATCATCAACATCATCATCAGCATCATTATCATCATCCGTATCATCATCATCATCATCATCACCACCACCACAATCATCATCGTCATCATCATCACCATCACCATCACCATCACCATCACCATCATCATCAACAGCATCACCATCATCATCATCATCATCGTCATCATCATCATCATCATCATCATCATCAGCATCAGCATCAGCATCATCATCATCATCATCAGCATCATCATCATCACCATCATCAGCAGCAGCATCATCGGCATCATCATCATCAGTATCATCAGCATCACCCCCCTCCGCCTCATCCTCTGTTTCTCTTCCACATCCTCCTCTTCCTCCTCCTCCTCCTCCTCCTTCTTCTCGTCCTCATCCTCGTCCTCCTCGTCCTCCTCGTCCTCCTCTCCCTCCTCGACCTCCTCGTCCTTGTCCTCATCCTCGTCCTCGTCCTCCTCCTCCTCCTCCTCCTCGTCCTCCCCCTGCTCCTCCTCCTCCTCCTCCGCCCCATCCTCGGTGCCCCCCTGCCCCCCTCCTCGCCTGGGACTCCTCGGCCTGCTGGGCACGCCGCCGCAGCTCCTCGAGCACGGGCCGCAGGCTCTGCTCCGCGTGGACGGCGCAGAAGCGGGCAAGGGCCTCGGTGAATTCGCCCGCGCCGCCCACGGGTGGCGGAGCACCTCGGGCTTCGGGCCCTGGGCTCTTGGCTATCCACATCTGTCCACGGTGGATGCCTGGTGACGGGAAATCCGATGAGCGAGGCGGCCTGAGCCGAAAGCGTCAGGGGGCGCGCAGCAGAGGGAGCGGGGCGGCAGGTGGCGGCAGATGGGAGGGCGAGGGAAAATGGCACCATGCGCGCGGCGACCCGACTTTCAACTTTCTTGTTGCTGCTAGAGCCAAGTGCCTAGGACCACCTCAACAGCCCCGAATTTCAACAAAGAACCAAAACGTTGAGCAAAGGTTCAACGAATGACACGGCTGGTTCACGTCGCGACGTCGGTGTGGGTTTCGGACACCGTGTGGATCGCTGAACATTGAACGATCGCGGATGTCTGATAGCGCAAGTCCTCCGACATCTGCCGATTCCGAGCCACTGGCGGCTGAGCGCCCGCGCTGGGGTCGCCGCCGCGTCAAAGCGGTTGGAGCCTGCCGCACTTCATGACAATAATACTGGCAGGTGGCTGGCACTCCTTCTGCAACCACGTTTGTCAGACCCCCGCCACGTTTCCGCGAGCAGGATCTATGCAGAAGGTCGAAGCTGGAACCTGGCCAGAGGCCCCCTCGCTGTCGGGGCCACGAGCCAGGAGGCGCATCTTTCTTCTGCGTGCTGCCATCGTTGGCGACCTGACCACCCACACTTGTATATTCGACGATGAGCCCCTTGCTCTGGGGCGGCCAAGAGGGGGGCGTCCAAGAGGGAGGGGTGCAAATCGTGGCCGGCGGCATGTGCGCGGCCCGAGAGGGGGGCCAGGGGCGTAATGACATGAGAAGAGGCGCCATGAGATCTGGGGAGATATCATGGCCCACGCCATGATATCCCCCCCCCCAAGTCATCACCCCCCTCTTTGCCGCCCCCGACCTGCTACCCCCACCAGCCGTGGGCGGCCTTCGGCGGTCTCAGGCCGGTCGTCGCGGCGCTCTTCGGCGGTCTCCGGCGGCCTCCCGACGGCCTTCGGCGCTCTCCGGAGGTCTCCGGCGGTCGGCGGACGAGGGGTCCATGATCGAGCACCCAACTCTAAAGGGAAATTAGGACACACAAATAAATACACACAAATAAACATAGTCCCCATATTTTCCCATATTTTCTGGGTTTTTGTCTTCCCCCCCAATTCCCATATTTTCCCATATTTTCCTGGGAATCGAGGATTAATTGTGTCTGTGTGTTTTTTTCCCTCCTGAAACTCGGCTACACGCAAGAGTGACCCTGGGTAAGAGCGACCTCTGGGGCGCGGCTTCTGGGGGGGCCGCGGGGGGACCAAACTTGGGCGCGCAAAATACGCCACTATCGCATCGCCATCGGTCATCGGGGGGCCCCAGTGTGCCCGCACCAGAGGTCACTCCGGCGAGAGGTCACTCTTACGCGCAGTCGACCAGCCCACTTCCCCTCCCTCGTCGTACAGGCCTCGGAAGAGATAGCGAACACTCATGCCACATTCATCTGTGAACGCCTCCCCCTCCCCCCAATGTTCAAAGTTGGCGGTGGGTCTGATGAGTTGCACCTCGACCGCAGTCTCCCCCGCGCGTGCCAACCTTGAGTTTGGGGGGCAGGGGGGGTGTTCCCTAATTGTTTCCCTCTACCGTATCCCTGGCACGCGGGACGGATCCCGCGGGAGCGGGTCTTGACCCCAAGGCTTCCCCCGGGGCCAGCTTCCCGCCCTGGGACCTTCTCTTACCTCTTCTTCTTGTTCTCTTGATTGTGATTACTATTGGCATTATCCGTCTTATCACTCTTCTCATTATGTTTATGATTATGATTCTGATTATGACTATGATTATGACTATGCTTATGAGTATTATTATTGTTATTGCTACTGGTATTGTTGTTGTTATTATTAACCTTATTATTATAATCATTATTATGTTTCTTCTTCCGTACGGCCGTTCTCCTCTTCATCCTCTTATCTGCCCTCTTTTTCGTATATCGCACGGCCGTTCTTCTCTTCTTTTTGCATCCTCCTCTTCTTCATCTTCTTCTCACACGGCCTACGCCCTAGGCTGCCGTTTCAACTGCCCTGGGAGACCTGTGTGCTGCATGCAGCTTGCTTAGTGAGGTCATGCCTATATCCGCCACTCTCTCTCTCGATCTCTCTGTTTGTCCCCGCCAGAACACATCCCGAACGTAACCATTTTCTAGATTGCGATCTGAGAATCCGCCGACCCTGTCGCCGTGTGTGAGGGGCTTCTCCGTTCGACTCGTCGTCTCCGTCGTCTCCGTTCTCCCCCTCCCAGGGCTCTCCTCCTCAAGCGCGCTATCCAAAGCGAAATTCAACGACGTCGTAGTGGAGTCGAAGGGAAGCCCCTTCCCTTTGATCCCTTCCCCGCAGGGGGAGGGGGGGGGGAGGGGGTGGGAGGGCCCGGGGCAGATACGACGCCCGCCGGGGCGCACTTTCCTCGAGCGGGCACGCACGGGATGCACTTCCTCCTCCTCCTGGTCCTCCTCCTCTCCTCCTCCTCCTTTTCCTCCTCCTCCTCCTCCTCCTCCTCCTCCTCCTCCTCCTCCTCCTTCTGCTCCTCTCCTCCGTCTCCTCCTCCTCCTCCTTATCCTCCTCCTGCTCCTCCTCCTCCTCCTCCTCCTCCTCCTCATCATCCTCCTCCTCCTCATCCTCCTCCTCCTCCTCCCCCTCCTCCTCCTCCTCCTCCTCCTCCTCCTCTTCCTCCTCCTCCGCTTCCTCCCCCCACTCCTAGCCCTTTCGATCAGGGTCGGCGGCACCGGCTGTCAGGCTTCTCCAATATTCTAACCGATCCCTGTCCCCGCTGGCGCGGCCTGGGTCCCGCTGGTCGATTCTCTCCCCTAGAGAGGGATATCTGCCGCGGTGCCCTTCGGCACGGAGTGGGCGTGTCCTCAGGTCCGTAGCCTGATCCTCTGAGCCTCGTGAGGGTTCTTAGATGCCTCCTGGATGGGGTCGGAGCAGATGGGGTTGGAGGATTGCGGCGCATCGGCGATGCATCGGCGATACATCGCCGACGCATCGGCGTTGCATCGGCGACGCACCAGCGATGCATCGTCGACGTCGGAGGTGCATCCGCGACGTCGACGTGAAGCAAATCGGGCTCCACACCGAGCCGCATCGACGACGCATCGGCGATGCGGCGCGATCCTCCGACCCCATCTACTCCGACCCCATCCATGACTACCTACGAGACCACCCCGACCCAACCCGAAGACCCGAATTTCGGGTTGGGGGGGGGGGGTATGGGCTCCGTGCGTGTTTTTTCTATGTTTCCGGACCCCCCCCACACTGGAAATGGACGGCAAATTGAGGCCTTCGGGTTGGGTTGGGGTGGTTTGGTGGGTGGTGCATCTGGGGGGCCTACGGTTCTCAAGGGGCCCGCACACCCCAGATTGCCACGTCTCCCTGGGAGCGGCGCGTGCCCCCCCCCCCCCCCCGGGGCCGTGGCGCGGCTCCCCCGTCGCGAGCTTTTTTGAGCTCCCTTTTTGTTTGTGTGTCGGTGGGCTTCGCGTTCCTTCGGCGGCGTTGGCTCTTTCGGCGGCCTTGCCTTTTTGTTGGCCGGTTTCGCATTGTTCGGCGAGTTTCGCACTTGTGTCGGCGGCCTGGACTTCTTTCGGTGGCCTCGACTTTTTTCAGCTGCTGTCGCGCTTCTTTTTGTTCGGGCTTCGCACTTTCAAGAGGGCCCCAAGCCGCCGACAGACCCCAAGACGCCCAAGATGGCTTCAAGACGGTCCAAAGAGGCCCCCGAGACGACCCTGCCTCCGTGGCGGGGTGGGCCGAAGACCATGCGACAAGCCATTCCCGTCGGGTGTTGCGGGGCCTCTCCCCAACGGGGTCGATGGCATGGTGGGACTGAGATACAGTGGCCCAGTGTAACGATACGGACGAGAATTTCTTGAGCAGAGACCGACCGTCCTGGCATTCCTATAAGCCTATAATAAAATCTGTTCAAGACAAAAGACCACCCTAAAAACAAAAACAAGGTTCTTGCAATAGAACGCCGATGACGTTCAACAAGACAATATCTGCCAGAAGCGTTCTAAGAACATCTCGTGCAAACCACAAGACGTGCTTAGAACATGATTTGGCGGACCAGTGGGCAAGCCAGGACATTTCGCTGCTGCTTGAATTCCATACTCTTTCAAACTCTGCTGCCATTACGTCGGGCGTGTCCTCCTAAAGCCGGGTTTTGGATGAACAATGAGACAAGTTCGAAACATATTCAAATATATCTAATATGTATATATATATACACATATTCAAAACTCGTCCCCAGGCTACTTTTTGACTACTTTTGACTATTCCTCCTGTAGAGAGACAGGCCAGTCTTAATGCTACCCGGGCCCTGCCCAGGGTCCACCCCGGCCAGGGGTCCGAGCCACGCCAGGCCGTGGCGGCGAGAACACGCACAGAACTGCCCTCACGACGCATCCGAAGCGAAAGCGCCGACGTTGACGCCGCCCCCCTCACAGCTGGATGCTCTCCACATTCACCACCTGCCGAGGTCCAAGATTTCGGGTGAGGGGGCTCACGGGTTCCATCCATGTCTTTTCGCTGTGCCGAGATGCCCCCCCACTGGGAATGGAGGGCAACTTGGGGCCTTCGGGTTGGGCCGGGGTGGTTTGGTGGCACTGGCACACTGGGTCCGAGCACGGCCAGGAACTCTGGCGCAGCGTGTCCACGCGGCGGCCCCGGCCACACGGCATATGCCCTGCAGGCGGACAGCGCGTCGCTCTGCTCTCCGCGGGGCGCGAGGCTCGGGAAGGCTCGTGTCGTGGAAGCCTGGGGGATCGGGGGGGGGGTGGGCGTGTCGCGCCGCAGCCTGGTGGGCCAGCACCGGCGGAGCGCCACGCTGCCCAGAAGTTTCTGGCCGCAGATGGTGCCCGAGGATCGCGCCGCATCGCCAATGCATCGCCGATGCACCGGCGAGGTCGGCGATGCATCTGCGCCGTCGGCACGGAGAAGATCCCGCCCTCCATCGAGCCGCATCGCCGATGCATCGGCGATGCGTCGCGATCCTCCGACCCCGTCCACTTGGACCGGACG